TTCCACGCAGGGCAGATGCGGCATGATTGCCAACAGCGACGCAGCAAGCCGACTTGAGATGCGGGGGAGGATGTGACGAGAAGCAACGTTTACTGAAGACTATGGCAGGCACACCAAATTGGGACATGGTATGCCAGCAGGCGCCCTGCGGAAATTGTAATCCCCAACGGTCCAGGGACCCAGATGAAGATTCAGAATCTCCAGCCAGAGTCCCATTGTTCATAACGGCTGCCTGTCGAACCACATGTGCATAACGAATGATGGTTGGGTTAAAATGGTCCCATCGACGTGCCTGAGCGTGCTAGCCCGCAGCCATTTTGGCACAAGCCGTCTGGCTCCTCAGAGCGCACCCTCGTGCAGGCCGTTGCGAGGGTCGAAGAACAAGAAGCTGCATAAGCATAAGCTTTCGGAGGTCCGCGCGGATTTCTTGGATCTGCGCTGGCCCCCCCTCCTTGGCGCGAGGAGCGCGGCAGGGGCGGCGCCGGAGGCGCCGCCAGGTGGGCCCAGCGCGGACCACGAAATCCGCTCGGAGCTCCGAAAGTGTATGCTTATGCAATTTGTTGTTCCTCTAGGGGGCGGGGGGGCTGTCGCGGCCATGGCGCGCCCACCTGGCGCCCGCTGGCCGCCGTGCGCAGCGACTCGCCCAGCGCTGCCGCGCGTCTGCGTGTTGAGCGCGCTGGCATGGACCGCGCTGCTTCTGGCGAGCAGGCTGCCGGGTGCCTCCTTCGCCTTCGTCGGGAAGGGCACGGCCCGTGCGTCTCCAGCGCTGGTTCCTAGAGGAATTAGTCGGCCTGTGGAGCTCGTGCCTGGCAGGCAGGGAGGGCCATGCATCGTGGTGATCAGAGGAGCAACATGTATTGATGCCGCTACCCTTACTTCGTCTTCCCCTTGTTGGGCCTCCTGGGAGGCCCTCGCTCCACCGCTGGAGTCGCCTCGAGATTCTCGTCAGAACGCACCCCAGGAGAGGCCCGGGCAGCAGCGGTATGGGTACCTTTTGGTTTCCCCAGGTGATCTCCGATAGCACTGGGGAGACCGCGAAGCAGCTGTTCTCGAAAGTGCTGGAAGCCTATCAGGCAGCGCACGAGCCCAGGATTACGCTCTACGGCTACGTGACCAAGCCCATGGAGCTGGCAGAGATTCTGACGATGGAGAAGGGCAACGGGTACTCCGAGGTCTATGTGGTCGCCACCCTCGTTGAGCCGAGCATGATTCGCTGGATTGAGAAACTGAGTGTCGATCTTGGCATCCAGCATCTTAACCTGATGAAGCCCATGCTCGACGCATTCAATGTGTTCCTGGGCTCACAGGCGCGGGGTACTGCTGGAGCGCTCACTAGCGGCGGCAACCGCATCGTCATGCAGCAGCTCGACGACTTGGTCAGCAAGGAGTTCATCGGGATGATAGAGGCTGCGAGCTACGCGAGGTCCCGCAGCAATTCACGCCGGCCGATCGACTGGGAAGATGCCGACACCATTTTGGTCGGTGTGTCGCGCAGCGGCAAGACCAGCGTCGCAAGTTTCCTCGCGCAGAGGGGTCGGAAGGTGGCCTGTGTGGAAATCGGGGCGGACCAGCCCATCCCGCAGGGCCTGGACACCGCCGAGCCCTCCAAAGTCGTGCTCATCGCACGGAGTGCGGACCACATCTTGAAGCGCCGAATGAACAGAGTGTCGCTGTGGAGATCCAAGTCTGTCAGCTCGACCCTCCCGGACACCTTGGAACACTACGCGACTCCAGACAGGGTCAGGCAGGATCAAGAGCTGTTCGACCAGATCTCGAGAATGCACCCTGAGTGGATGGGTCCGCTGGACTGCACCTACGTCTGCGAGGACGAGACGTCCTCGCAGATCTTGGGCATCCAGCGCGACCTCGCGAAGTGCGCCAAGTTGCAGGGCCCCAGCTCTGCCGCCGAAGCCGACTCCTCTCGGGTGCTGCCAGGAGTGCCCCTGGCCAAGGGTGCCCCCAGGATTTCCAAGGAGGCACCCACGGCCTCCTGAGCATCCCCCTCACGAGGCCCAGAGGGCCCCACGGGGTTCCAAAATTGCGCGGGAAGCAGCTATGAATCGAGCTGTGGTAGGGTCACCGTGTGGTGGTGCTCCAGGAGCTTGAAGTCGATTGGAGGAAAAGGCTGGGGGCACCCTGGGCCAGGGGCACCTCTTTTGGGGGCAGCGCCCGAAGCCTCGCCCTCGCCCCTGCTCCTGGGGCTCGTGCCCGCCGCGCTGGCCCTTGGCGTCTTCTTGGGCGAGGCGGGGAAGGCGCTCGGCGAGGGGCGCACCGCGGCGGCGCGGCCGCCCGGGGGCGCCCTCGGGGGCTCGGTGCGGGGCTCAAGAGACGGGGGTTCAATGCAAGCGGGGTCAGCCAGAGCGCCCGATCTTGCAAGATCCTGCAGGGGCAGGATCGCAATGACCCGGGTTTGAGTGCAGGGTCCTGCAGGATCCTTCGCACTGACCCGGGTTCGGGTGCAGGATCTTGCAGGCTCTTGCAGGATGTTGCAAGGCCTGACTGACCTGGGTCTGGATTGACCCGGGTCAGAAGATCCCCGATCGGTACTCAGAGGAGGAAAAGGTAACTACCCCTACTGCTTCTCTTCCCTCGTTGTCCCCTTTTTCCTACCTCCTGGGCCACAGGTTTTTCGCTACTTGTGGCCTCGGGGCGCCCTTGCCGGGCCTCGGGACCGTCACAAGCATGCTCGGGATGAAGATCCGATCCTGGGGAAGGGGTCGAGAGCTCTGGGGGTCTACGTAGGGAATTCCGAGGAGGAAGAGGCCACCATACCGCTACCCTTTCCTCGCTTCCCCCTTCTGGGCCTCCTGGGCGGCCTTCGTCCCCACCGCCAGATTCGGCTGAGTGCTGGTCGAAACGCACCCGGGGGAGGCCCCGGGCGCCCAGACCCCGACGTCGTGTTTTTTGTTCACAACGTCGACCCCCAGAGGTCTAGACCCTTTCCCCGGGACCGGGTTTTCATCCTGAGTCGTTGGTCGACGGTCCCGAGGCCCAGTAAGGGCCCCCGGAGGCCGACAATGGCGAAACACCTCCCGTCGTGATTTCTTCGCAGCGCGTGGGGGTCGGTGCAGCAGTGGAATCGGTGCCTTTTGGTTTTCCTCTAGGTGCTGGCCGGGGTCGGGGCCGCGCCGGGCCGCCGGTGGCGAGCGCCGGGGCGAGGCAGGGTCGCAGCGCGGCGAAGGGATGCGGAGGTCCGCATCCAGGAAGAGGTGATCAGAGGAGGAAGACCTACCGATACCACAACAGCCTTCGGACCAAGTTTTACGATCGAGGTCGGTTCGGGGAGTGTACTCTAGTGTTCGCCGTGTTTGTTGAATGCTCTTGTGCACCCTGGGGAGGGTATCCTTGGATGGTCTCTGTGTTTTGGCCGGCAGAGGTTCGCATCCAGGAGAAGGTTATTGGAGGAAGAAGTGCACCGATACTGCTACCCCAGACCCCCTCGCGTTATGAGCAAAATCGCGACGGCTTCCCGGGGCCCTCAGCGGGCCCCGGGACCGTCAGAAAACGATTCAGGACGAAAACTTGGTCCCGGGGAAGGGGTCCAGACCCCTCGGGGTCGACGTTGGGAAAAATTCACGACGTCGGGAGTCTGGGAACGTACCGATACCGCTACCCTTGCCTCGTTTTCGCCCTCGTGGGCTTCCTGGGAGGCCCTCGTCGCCATCGCCAGGGTCACCACGAAGTGGTGGTCAGAATGCACAGCTCGAGTTCTCCCGAATGGGGTCTGGTAGATGGGGTCAGAGGATCCCGCCGCATCGCCGAGGCGTCGGCGAGGCGGTTCGATGTGGAGCCTTGTTTCCTCCATGCCGACGGCGCTTCAGCATCGCCGACGCCGACGACGACGACGACGACGACGACGACGACGACGACGACGACGACGACGACGGCGATGCATCGGCGATGCACCAGTGATGCATCGGCGATGCGGCGCGATCCTCCAACCCCATCTGCTCCGACCCCATGCAGGAGGCCTCCAGCAGTAAGTCGGGCCTGTCCCCTCAACAGGAGGAATAGTCGAAGGTAGTCCAGAAATAGCCTGGGGACGATTTTCCAGCTGTTGTTTGGCTATTTGGGGGTTTTAGGGTGATTGTGTATGGTTCGTCCAAAATCCGCCTGTGGGAGGACACGCCCGACCCAGCTCCAGCAGCGCAGCAACAGAGGAGTCGTCCGCGCCGACGTTTCGCGCGCGAGCCTGCCGCCCGTGGCCGCGCGCAGGCGCCCTCGCCGCCGCGCGGTGTGTGCCGCGCTGGCGGCCCTGCAGGGAAGCCGCGGCGTAAGGTCGCTGCGGCATTTCGCGTGCAGTGGAGGCCCACGCCAAGGAGCACCCTGCTTGCCCCCCAGGGGTGCCCTGGGTGCCGCGGGCGATGCCGATTTTTCAAGTCCGAGCGGCTCCGCGCGCAGGGTCGTCGCATGGCGCTTTTTGGCTCGCACTTCGATGTGTCAGATGCAACGCTGTGGTCTCAGAGGTCGGCGACGCGCAGAGTGGGGTAGAGTGGAGGCCCATGCCAAGAAACACCCAGCTTGCCTCCAGGGTGCCCTGGGTTTTGGGGGTTTCAATGGTTTTGCGATGGGAAGCGGTGGCGTTCCCACACCAGAAATCAATGGACCTCTTGGGGTCTCAGGGCGGGGTTTCTTGCCGCAGGTGCTCTGCTTCTCTCGGCGGGGAACAAAAATCGTCCCTCCTCTTCCTCCTGCTGCTCCTCCTCCTCCTCCTGCTGCTGCTCCTCCTCCTCCTCTCCTCCTCCTCCTCCTCCTCCTCCTCCTCCTCCTCCTCCTCCTCCTCCTCCTCCTCCTCCCCCTCCCCCTCTTCCTCGCAGTCGTAGTCGTCGTCTTTGTTACGCGGCGGATGCCCCGGAGAAACAGTTATTTTCCCTTGTTGGTGGGACCCCAGTCCGTACATAAGGGCGTCGGACACAGATTTAGTTCCCTTTCCTGGGGGGGGGAGTTCTGCAGACCCTTGGGGGCTGCAGGACCCGTTTCTGTTCTTCGCTCAGGCGGCGATGCGGAACGAGATCAGGAGTATGGCGCAGGGGCGAGGACGGAGCGCCCCAGGGACCGGGAAGTGCGTGTACGCCTTGTCGGATGACTCGGGGGAGACGGTGCAGCTGCTCCTGTCTCGGCTGCTGGTGCAGTACTCGGACCTGGAGCCGCCCAGCGTCAGGTTCTTCCCGCGGCTGGGCTCCGTCGCGGAGGTGGCCGAGGAAGCAGAAGCGACATCTGGTTGGGGCGTCGGTTAAGGAATGTGCCCTGGAGGCTTCAGGCCCTGGAGGATTCCTTGTCTGATGAGGGCGGTGGTGGTACGGAATGCCAAAGCCTCCATTCCATTGGTGTTCCACTGGCTTCCAGACTCTGGGTTCTCTAGATGAGGGTTCCTGATCCAGTGCCCTCACCGTAACTATAACTTTCTGGAGGTCCGCGCGGATGTCTTGGATCGGCGCTGGACCCCCCCCCCTTCTCTGGCGCGCGGAGCGCGCCAAGGGCGGCGCCAGAGAGCGCCGCCAGGGGCGCCAAGCGCCAACCCAAGAAATCCGCGCGGACCTCTGGACGTTTCTATGTATGTTGTTGTTTGTTCCTCTAGGTTTAAGTCGGGCATAGCCCTCTACAGGAGGACATGCCAAAAATAGTAAAGAAATAGTGCAGGGACGAATTTTGTTTCAATATTTTTGATCATTTCGGAGTATTGTTCATATTTTTCATTTTTCTTTCAGAATTCCCCTGTAGGGGGACATGCCCTACCTAATTCCAGGTGAGGGAGATCGTAGCGCAGGCCCAGGCCAGCCAGCAGGACATCTTCATCCTTGCGACGCTTGTGCAGCCATCCCTTTCGGATGCCCTCGCGAAATTCGGCGGCGAGATGCAGGGTAAGACCTACAATGCAATAGCAGATCTGCAGCGAATAGTGGAACGATCGACCAGCTCCAGTGCCTCAGAGCAGCTGGTCCTCGATAGCAGCAACGACGGCTTCTTCATCGACGCCCCGATAAACGGAGACGGCCCTGTCAAGCAGATACCCTCCGTGAACTCCGACTTCTTCCGTATGGCGGAAGCCGTGCAGTTCGCGCAGCAGCACATCTCGGGCGTCAATGCCCAGGAGTGGCCGGACGCCGACGTGCTATTGGTGGGCCCCTCGCGCGTGGGCAAGGAGACGCTCGCGTATTATTTGGCGCATCGGGGTGTCAAAGCCGCGTGTGTGGCGATTTCTTCTGCGGGGAGCGCGCCACCAGCGTTGTCGAACGTGGACCCCCGCAAGGTCGTGTTGCTCACAATGTCTAGCGACTTTCTGATGAAGCGAAGGCAGTACAGGGTGCAGGAGTTGAAGCGCAAGGGTGTGCCAGTGTTCTACGACGCAAGCTACACGAATCTTCAGAGCATCGAGCTGGAGCTCGACTCTGTGGCGCAGCTGGCGCGAAATCAGGTTGGCTGGGTTGGTCCTCTTGACATTACGGACTACGATATCCCTGAAGCCTGCGATATGGTGTTAACCGTCCTCAAGCAGGCTTCGTTCAAAGCTTGAGGCGGGACCGCGTGATCATAATATTCCCTTCCTCCATGTGTGCTGCTTCGCTGACAGCCTGAAGCAGCAATTCTGTGTGAGTATTGTCTTGTCAGTTATTTCCGCGCCACCTGCCATATCCATGAACGGCACCCTGAGTTTTAGGATTTGGGGGCATTCGTTGCCGCTGGCGGGAGGGGGGGGTAGGTAAGGTTGGGAATGATCGGCGTGGGCCGCGATTCGGCCCGAATTCGAGAGCTAGTTAGGGCGTTTATCAGCGCGCAAGTGGCTTACATTGTACAATAGGAATTTTGTCTCAGATGCTACTGTCTGGGCATGCATGGTGCACGACGTTTGTTTTCCAAGTCCTGCCAGCAACCAGCTTGATTACATCTGCAAGTGTTGCCTGGGCTATGTTTCTGGATGGCCCGCATACCACGGGTATGTCATCGCAGGGTGTCCTCCTGCTGCTGCCCGTCCTCCCCTTTCACCTCCCGCTCTCCCTTGGCTGCCGGTGCTCCTCCTCTTGGCTCGACTGGCACAACTCCGATCTGTCGGGAGCACCCCAGCGCGGGCAGACAACGAGCGAGGCTGGGCTATTGGCCGGCCTCGCCTCGAAGCTGCGCATGGAAAGAGCACGCGCTTGCGGCGCGTGCCAGTGGGGACTGGGCACCGACAGGCGCAGCCGTGTCGGCCTCATCGTCCCGTGGGCATCTTGCGCCGAGACGGTCTTGGAGGAGGACGAGGTGGAGCAGCAGCATGTTTCCCCGCGAGCGTCCCACCTTCCACGATGGAGCAGCGGTCACACCCATTTCAGGAGTTCCGCCGCAACATGGGAGCCAGGAGCCAGGACTTGAGGGTCCCGGCCAGCTCAGGAGGAGGAGGAGGAGGAGAAAAAGGAATGACAATACATTAGTGGCAGCATTGTTGAAAGCGATCGGGTAGCGACACGTTCGGCGTATGCAAATGTCCTTTGGCGGTTGCGGCTGCATGCGCACAGGTGGACGGATAGTTCGCCCCCGAGCGATTCTCAGGGGTCAAACAGTGAGTGACTGAACATAACATAAGCGTCACGGTCGGGAGCACGACCACGTAAAGATCCAGCGGCGGAAGCGATGATAACTCTTCTTTTTTCCTAGATGCATGTCTGGGTTGTGGCGCTGATTGGCACGAGCATGCAGGACTGCGCGAGGAGTGATACCAGCAACTATAAATCAGAGGCAGGAGGCAGAACAAAAAGGCACAGAGTAGTCAGTATCGGGACGAGCAGAGGGATGTCCCCGCCAGGGGCAGCCATGCTGACTGGACCGGGCTTGCCGTGAGGTGGGGCCAGGCGGCCACGTGTCTCGTCTGACATCCGTAGTGTCACCGCGTCTCGTGAGCATCTGCGCGGGGCAGTGCCACCTCCGAGCCGTCTTTTGGTGGCCGGGTTGCCTGCCGCACGCGGCGGCGCGGCGGCGGCTTTTGCGTCTGCCAGCGGCACGCTGGACGGTTGTCAGCGCTGGCGTTGGCGAAGCGTTGGTGCGCCAGCAGCGGTTGTCGCCTTCAGTTCTGCTGCTGGAGTGATGGCAGGGTGTCGGCAGCGGCTGTGCCAACGAGCAGGGAGGCTGCCAGCTGGCGCTGCTGGTGCCGACGCTGGCCAAGATGCCGAGCAGGAGACTGCAAGTGGACCCACCAGCTGGAGGCTCCACGTGTATGACCACTGTCCGTTCTGCACGCGCGCGGAGCGCGCCTTGGGATAACGTGGAATCAGCTACGACCGGTTGGTGCTTAGTTACGCGGACGTCGATGGCCCACCGTCTCTGATGAGCGAAGAGAGCTTGCTAGTGCTGGAGTGGCGGCGAGGCCCTCCGTCTGAGCCCGGACGGCCTTGGCTGGAACGGCGCCTTCATGCCCGGGGTTGCGAAAGGCGCCTCTGGCCCAAGGTGCCCCCAGCTTCTCGCTCCATTCTGGAGCCCCTGGGTCCTCGGAGCCTCGTGAGGGTTGATCTGGAGGCCGCGGGGGCCTCCCTGGAGTTCCTGGGGGGCAGCATGGGCCAGGGGCACTTCGAGCAACATCCGAGAGGAATCGACTTCGGCGGCAGAGCCGGGGGCCCTGCAACTTGGCGCACTTCGCAAGGTCGCGCTGGATGCTCAAGATCTGCAAGGACGTCTCGTCCTGGCAGACGCAGGTGCAGTCCAGCGGACCCGTCCACTCAGGGCGCAGTCTCGAGACCTGGTCGAAGATCTCTTGATCCCGCCTGACCCTGCCTGGAGTCGCGTAGTGTTCCAAGGTGCGTGTCCGGGCTGCGGTGGCCAGCTGGGACGCGCGCCCGCATGGAGGTCCACCGCGTCCAGGCGGGGGCGGCCCTCTGTACGTCGACCGTGCTTGCTGAGCGGCCGTGTTGCGGGCGGGCGCCCGAGATCACCCAGTGGGCCCAGGCGGTGCCGGCGCAGCGACCGTGCCGAAGCCTCGAGGCTCACGGGGCGGGGGTCCAGGCGTTCGGGGGCCAGTCAGAGCGCCGGATCTTGCAGGATGCTGCAGAGTCAGGATCGCATTGGCCCGGGTTTGGGTGCAGGATCCTGCAGGATTTTGCAGGATCCTGCAAGGCCCGACTGGCCCAGGCTTGCATCGACCCGGGTCAGGAGATCCCTGGAATGCCCTGTCCGAGGATTCACGTCTATATTCGAGCAGGATTGAGAACGCTCCCCCCGAAGTGGGCTTTCCAAGGGGAGTGTGTGAGGAGGGCAAGAAGACGTGCGGTAGAGCATGATCAGCAGTCTTGGTGCGTTGGGGTTGTCCGAATTCTGGTCGTCCGTTCTGGGCCATTGCACATCGATATCTCCATCTATCTATCTATCTATGTATCTATCTATCCATATATATATATATATATATCCACGTATGTGTGCAAGTTTCCGACCGTTCGTTGGAAGGGATTGTCGATTCCCAGGTTTCACTATGTTTTACGCGTTTTCCTATGGTTATCATCTGAATGATTTCCCTCTTCCTTTCCGTTCGCGAGGCGGGCGGAAACCCAATATTTGTTCAACGTTTTCCTGCTCCATGTTTCAACCCACTTCCTCCAAACGATGGGTACGTATTGAATTCCTGGTACCTGTGGTGTTGACGTAGTGGAAAAAGAGCACTGGTGGAGAAAGCCGCCCGAGGAAGGCTTATCGAAGTATTTTGCTTGTGAGAAGTGGGGGCTATCAGCAGAGTGGCCTCACTGTCCAGAGCTGTCCTCTTGCTTCTCACCCCAGGGAACACATCGCTTCTCCTGTCATTGTTTCTCCCACGCCTGTGCCGGCTCGAGCCACTAGGAAACGCCAGGAGGTCACGATCGCACCCTCCAGACGATGGTTTGCAGCCGCTGACGGCCTTCCCGAGATGACGATCGTTGCCGGTAGGCTCGCCGTCATAGCCTTGGCGTTGGCTGCGCCCGCGGTAGCCGAGAGCCCTCCTGCAGGCGCGGTGTCCGACCCGTTCACCTATCACTACGACCCGGAGCACCCGAGCGACCCGATGGATTTCGCTGCCCGCGCGGTGGACCATTGGATCCTGAATCCAGCAGAGGCCACCGCGGGACTCCAAGCTCAGGAGGGAAAAAGACACAGACACAAGTCATCGTCGATCCCCAGGGAAATATGGAAAATATGCGAAGTGGTGGGTAAGACAGAAACCCTGAAAATGTTTAAAAATATTGGGAATCCTGGGATTTGTGTCTATTCATTTGTATGCCCCAGGGCCCCTTTACAAGCGCCCGGCGGAATGGCCCTTCGACGATCGGGAGAGGCACAGTCGGGGGTCTGGGCGGCCACCCGCGTGCTCCAGTGAAGTGCCACGGACGTCGGCGAGACCTGGGCAGGTGCTGCCTTGTCTGCCGACGCCAGGACCGTGTACAGCCAGGACCCCTGGTAAGGGGACCCGGTGAGTAGTAGTAGGGACCCAGAGCCTTTCAATTTGCCAGAATCACGAAACCAGGTCTGCCGTAGCTGGTGTTTTTTTCGGCTGACGGCAGCTTCGGTTAGTGGAACGGGGCGGGGGGGGCCTCCCCCAGTACACATCACGAAACCAGGTCCCACTAAACCCAGTTCTGCCAACGCCCGAGTCTTGTCTGCCGACGCCAGGAAGGCAGCGGCAGAAAGCGAAGACACCCGCAGACGGCCGCGCAGCGATTGCAGACCAAAAGCCAGCACCGGCAGAACACAATTGACGTTTTTGGTCTTTGGGCCTTTCGACCGCATTGGCAGGAAACCGCGGGTGTATCATAACATATCATTATGACTGCACGGCCCCTGAGGGGTGAGCGCCGACACACTTCACCCAGAGGTGGCCCGTGAGTACAGGATAGCCGTTCTCCTAGAGGCGAGCGGCATTCTCTCGAGGTCTCTGGAGATCCGCGGAGGGGTTCTTGGAAGTTAGGCGGCAACTCTTGGGAGGCTTTATTCTGAATTTGCGCTGGTTTCTTCCCTGGTCGAACCCTGGCCCCACTTGGACGAACCCCGCTTACTCTGGCCCAGGCCCATTTAATCTGGCTTGATCCCTGGCCCAGTCTGGCTCGACGGCCCCTCAATCGGGCGAACTCGTCTTTGATCGTTCTGACGAAGACCATCCAGGAGGTGCGTGTCTCCTGATTGAAGGAGGCCTCTGGGGGCCTCCAGAGGCATCTATAGGCGAAAAGTCAGCACGCCAATAGACCTCGATCCTCCTCCTAGTGCCGTGCGTTCTCTTCGACGGCGCGTTTCCACATCCTCGTGCTTGTCCTGGTCCTCCCTCTCCTGCTCCAGTGCAGGGGAAGGCCGTCCGTACCCTTCCTGGCTCAAGCTCATCATGCAACCGAGCCGCAGTGTCTCGGCCGCAATAGCCAGGCTGGCAGCTTGGACGGTCCATTCGGGTGTGGACCGCATCTGGTGGCCAGAGGTCTCGGCATGCCCGCGGTGCCCTGACCTGCACTGCGCGGACGTGCCCGCGTGCCCGACGCTCCAGTGCCCTGCGGCGCCGACGGTGCATTGCGCGCCTGCGGGCTGCCCGGCGCAGCCCAAGGCCCCCGCTGAGGGGAGGGCGCCCGCGCCGACGCGCGAGGCGCTGGCGGCACGCACGGAGGCGAAGCCTCCCGCGCTGGCGCCCCCGAGCAGCTCCGACGGCTGGACCGCCCTGGGGTGGGTGGCGCGGCTTGTGCTGGACGTGCTCGGCGGGAGCTTGGGCGTCGTGGTGCACGAGGTCTTCGTGGTGCTCGGGCTCACGGTTCGTTCGTGCTGGGGTTCTGGCTGGGCCAGAGACAGCGAGTTCGCCCTGCCCCGCGAGATGGCGCTGGTCCAAGTGCAGGAGTGGGCCTGGGTCCAGTACGCGGGGGCCGCTGTGTTCCACCAGCGCCTGGTGTTGGGAGTGTTGGCGGGTACTCCGACGACAACGATTGAGGTCGTCGCCGAGACGCCCGGCGGAGACGTGTACTGTGAGGTGTACGGCGGGACGGACCTGAACGTGGCGGCAGTGCGGTGGAGCGACTCTCGCCGGCCACCGCTACCAGGAGCGCCGAGGGACTCCCATCGGTTCCGCCGGGACGTGACGCCGGTTGGGCTCCAGGAGTTCCAGAGGCTGGCGAGGCTCGCCGCTCGGGACGAGATCGGGCTGCGAGGTCGACGCAACGGAGGTCCTGGCGTGGAGCCGGCTGGAGGCGCTGCTGCCGCTGGTGGCCGAAGCCGGGGGGGGTTCTCTCGCCGCCCCCTGCTTCCCTGGCCAGGGAGATGGGGGCCCCGCCCACTGGGCGGCGGAGACTTCTTCGGGGCGGCCCCCGCGCGGGCGCGCCCGTGGCCGCCGGCGCCGGGGCCGCCGCTGGGGCGCCTGCTGGCGGGGCTGGATCGCAGGCTGCCCCCCCGCCTCGAACCGACGAGCTGGCGTGGGTCGTCACCGAGCCTCGGCACGGACTCGAGCGAGGGGCGGTCGTCTTTCCCGGGGCGGGGATGCCGAGCCCCGGAGATGCTGGGCTCCACCACGTGCCTGGAGCGAACCCTGGCCCGCGAGGGCCCGCGGCGGTGCTGGTCAGGAGGACGCCGTTCCATGAGAGGGACAAACTCATGCAGAGTAAGAGCGTCGCCGATGCCAGGCCCATGCCGATCGAGGTGGTCGGAGACAGACGCCAGCGGAGGCCCAGGAGGCAGGCGGTCGAGCTTGGCGTCGTGACCCCCCTCTCGGCCTGGCCGATCCAGGGCCCCAGGGCCGTCGCGTGGGCGATGCGGTTCCTCGATCGACGCGGAGGCGGGCCTTGAGATCATCACACGTGGTGGCGCACGGTGAACCGACTTCAATGCGGAGACTGGGGGGCCGAGGTCCACGATGACGGGCTGCAGACGTGGGAGATGGCCGCGAGCTTCGATGCCCTGGAGATCGCCAACGGCGCTTGCCATGAGATCTTTGCGAGGGGGCGCCAGCTCGTCGAGCACGCGTACTCTCGCGAACCTCTCTGGGAAGGCCATGGCGGAGGGGCTGAGAAGGATGGGGACAAGGAGGGCAACAATAATTACTCGACGCGGGGCTCCCCGTATGTGCATCTCATTATCGTGGTAACCCTTTCCATAGGTAAACGTCAACGAACGCCTGAGTGTGATGGGGCAAGAAAGAAAGAGAGACAGAGAGAGAGAGAGAGAGAGACAGAGGAGGAGGGAGAGGAGAAAGAGGAGGAAATAATATAACCTTTGATTGAAATACTGTTTCACGATGCGTCCAAGAATTGTCTCTTCTTCTGGAACTGGATCGTCCGCGCTTGGTTTTGGGTCTCAATGGGATGACAGCAGCTACTTCTCTTCGGGCGGGGCCATGCCGACCTAGGAGAGCGCGTGCTGGCCTCCTCCTCCTCCTGCTCCTCCTCTTCTTCCTCCTGCTCCCCTCCCTGTTCGTGAGCTCCGAAAGCGGGACATGTTGGGGCAACCGAATGGCCAAACCGCCTGAGACATCCCCGCAATCTGGGCGCGAACGGGGCGAGGGAGATACCCCCCTGCCGCCCCCCTTGGGAGTGCTGAAACCAGCGAATCGCCTGAGACATCCTCCCAAATCTGCTCCGAAAGAGAAACATGTTGGGGCAACCGAATGCCCAAACCGCCTGAGACATCCCCACAACATGGGCGCGAACGGGGCGAGGAGATACCCCCCTGCCGCCCCCCTTGGTAGTGCTGAAACCAGCGAATCGCCTGAGACATCCTCCCAAATCTGCTCCGAAAGAAAAACATGTTGGGGCAACCGAATGGCCAAACCGCCTGAGACATCCCCACAAAATGGGCGCGGACGGGGCGAGGGAGATGCCCCCCTGCCGCCCCCCTTAAGAGTGCTGAAACCAGCGAATCGCCTGGGACATCCTCCCAAATCTGCTCCGAAAGCGGACATGTTGGGGCAACCGAATGGCCAAACCGCTTGAGGCATCCCCACAAATTGGGCGCGAACGGGGCGAGGGAGATACCCCCCCCGCCGCCCCCCTTAAGAGTGCTGAAACCATCGAAGCGCCTGTGACACCCTCAACATCTGCGTATAAGACCTAATAAGGATGAGTAAGTCTTAGTGATGACTGAGTCTGAATGATGACAGATCACGAGTAGGCCTGAATGACGAGTGGGCCAAAGTGACGAGCGAGCATGATGAGTGTGAGTTAGACAGTATGATGAAGGGATGAGTGGGTCTGAGTGGTGAGTGAGTCTGAGTGATGCGCGAGTCTGAGTGATGACTGAATGCTGAGTTGATGAGTTGATCAGTACTGGTTCTGAGTAACGATGAGTGACGCCGAGTCTGACTGATGAGAGTAAGTCTGTGACTGAGCCTGAGTGGTGAGGTGGGTTCCTGTGTGCGTTCCTCCGGCGCTGTCCGCCAATAACAAGAACCCCATCTTAGGATATGGGGAATAACCAGGGCAATGGCCGAGGCCGCGCTGGACTCCTGGGCGAGAGCGACGTATTCATGGGGCGACATCGTGAAGCAGGCGAAGCGATGGCGTCGCCCGACCTGCTCGACGTCGCGGCGCGGGAGGTCGAGAGGGGCGCGAGCGCGCTGAGGCGGGCGCGGGGGGCTCGCGAAGAACGCCGCCCTCTGACAATGGTGCTTGATGGACGCCCGCCTGGTCTTGAGCCCGGGCCTGGCGGGAACCTCAGGGCTGAATTCATCGCGCTGCGGCTGGCCGCCGTGGGCTCCGCCGCCGAGGAGCTGATTGGCACCCTGAACGACTTATGCAGGGCGCCAGGCCGCGGGCCCCCCCGCGCGCCTTCGAGGCTTACGTCGGCGCAAAGACTCGCCCAGGATCGCCGCCGGCAGCGCGCGGTCGATGCGGGGCCGCCCCCCGACGACCTCGACGGGGGCCTTCGGCGGGCTTCGGTCCAAGCTGGCCCGCGACGGATCTGCGTCACGGCTCGCGCCTCTTCGCGTGGACCTTCTTGACGCACCCCCGGCTGGCTTCCGCCCTGCGGCGCAGGGAGAGGCCGCTGGCCCTGCAGGCGAGTTGTTCGAGAAGAGGGGTCGAGGCGAGGTGCGTCCATGCGTGGGGGGGGGGGGGGGCGGCAAGGGCGAAGCTCCTGGGCTTGCGCCGGGCCTATATACCGACTCCGCCCTGCGCAGTCGCAAGATGTACATGGAGCTCTTGAAACGGATGCGCGCGGTTAATCCTATTGATTTTCGCCGCCTCGTACTGCGACGAATCGGGTGCTTCAGTGCGCGGCAGAAGTCGCGGGCTCAGAGGCTGGCGATCGGCGCCCGCGTCGCGAACTGCGCAGCTGGCGAGCGGGGCATGCTTCGCTAACCTCCAGCTCGACGCGGGCCCGCCCCTCGCGCTGGGGGGGGGGGGGGGGGGGGGGGGGGGGGGGGGCGGCGCCCGCGCGGCCATCTGCGCCATCTCCGTGCCCTCCCTGAGGGCTCATCGTGGCCCGTGGAATCTGGCCAGGTGGCCAGACGCGCAGCACATCATTCGAGATACAGTTGGCACGTGGAGGAAATGGGCAAGCATGCACAGATTGCCTCTTCGAGCCTGCCAAGTCGTTTCATCAAAGTTGTCCTCGGGATCGGCGCAGATTGCATGGCCGGCGTGTCCTGATACTTGGAATATTCACGAACGTTTTCGTCAACACGTGGAGTCCGAGCACGACTGCCGCATCCAGGGCGACAAAGATCGCACGAAGGTCTGGGGCGCAGATCCCCGTGAACTGTTCTTGCCCATGCTCGGCGGCTTCTTGGGCGATCCAGGTTGGCACGTATGCCACGAGGTAGATTCGGCGGACGTGCGCGCGATCGGTTACGCTAAGATGGAGCTTAGCCAACCTGGTTTTCTGCGACGACCCCCTCGGCCCGGTGGTTCTACGTCCGTGCCGGTGCTTTGGCCCTTCATCAAGTCCAAGTGCTTCAGCGACCTCGGGGGTAAAACGTGCGCGAAGCCAGGGCGCAGCTGTTTTCGGAGGGCCCGGATTCATGCGACGTCCCAGGAGCGCTTGGATGGAAAATCGTGGGCCGTGCAGTGAGGGGCGTCGTGAAGATTTTGTCGGGTCATGAAGTGTTCGGGGCTGCTCAGACGGCCCCTCGTTTCAAGGCGATGGTCGAGACCCTTGAGCCTCCGCCGGGTCCAGGGCCGCACCAGTGGTGCATGTGTTGCGGGGGCAGGAAGCGTCATTCGGTGTCGTACTTCGCGTGGGACATTGACCAGGCGTTCGAGGCGTGTTGCGCGTCTAATCTCCCCCAGGCGCGGCCCCGGATCTCTGGGGCCCACTCCAGCAAGTTCGACACCCAGTATGTCTTAGTGAGTCGTAACCCCAAAGGAGGTTTTCAACCGGGCAGGGCGTCTCGAGGAGATCAGTGGTGGACGTTGAGTTTCGCTGATCTGGGGAAGGCGCTGGTAGGAGCTGCGGCAGGCATGTACGCGATGCTAGGCCCGAAGGTGGTAATAATGGATGGTATGTCTATTGGAGGTACGATGTCTGGTGCAGCAGTGGCAGTGAGGCTGTCGGCTGAGGAGTTGCGTGCTTCTGAGGTCGTTGTCCTGGCTGGGTTTTCTGGGGGCCTGGGCTTCCGGCTGGGGCGCTCCATCGGCTGGGTCCGCTACGTGGATGACGGTTGCGCAGCTAGTATTTGGTATTGTTCGAGGTGTCTCGGGAGCTTCTTCACTTCACTGTGCGAAGAGAAAATATCTGTTGTGTACAGTTCAGACGAGAACCACGATGACGATTACTTTACCTGGGTAAACCTAGATGTTTTGTGAACGGCATGCAGGTGGCGTGGACGATCAAAAACCCGAATCGGCAGTGGTTGTTTGGCGAGCGTCCGAGGCCAGAGAAACAACAATTCATCCCATAGGCTGGGGTTTTGCCGTATCCTTTTGGGCAACTTCGGGGCATCCTGCTCGGAAAACTGGCGTCCTGCAGAGACGCGATGCTGGGCCCATATATGACGACCGTGGCAATGCTAGAAGTGTATCTCGAGCTTTTGCGCCTGGGGTATCCCATGACGGTTATGCGGAGTGTGGCGCACAGCATCCCATTTCTTCCGCAGCCATCTGTGATCGCCAGGTGCTTCGTGACTATTGCCGCATCATGAAAGGTGGGGGGCGACCGTATTTCCAGCGTGACCAGCGCCGCCGGCCACCAGAGGAATGGCGCGGCGACATGATCCGGGGCCGGCGTCGCTCACTGTCATCTTCGTCAACAGGAGAGAAGCGCAGACACATCGGGGTGCAAAAGGCTCAACGCTTGCTTGTGCGTGAGGACCCGCAGTACGCCGCGTTCCTCAAGGCCCAGAAGGAGGCAGAGGCAGAGACCCTGTTCCAGAAGCAGGGGCGCGTGCTCGCCGACTGCCTTAAGCCGCGCTTCGACGCGGTGCTCAACCAGGTCAGCTCGAGTGGCTCGCAGGCGGCGCCCGGGGCGGCAGCAGGTGCAGCTCCGAGCACAGGCGCTGCGGACTTCCCGCCGACGCCGCCGGCTACGTCCGCAGCAGAGGGCTTCACCGAGACGCAGCTTGCCCAACTCAAGGAGCTCGTGCAGAGCATGGCCCAGAAGACGAACGAGGACACTGCGGTGCCGGGGACGACCGAGGCAGACAATCCAGAGAAGTTGAGTCCGGTCCAGATGGGGGTGCTCCGGAAGATCACGAAGGGTCACGTCAGGTTCCAGGAGCGGTCGAAGGCTGCCATCATGAAGGTCTTGACGGAGACTACGTGGCCGGCGCGCGTCAACAAGAGCATCCAGGAGTGGGCGGAGGATCGGGTGGACAAGATTCCGCATAAGCGAGCGCCGCGGGCAGAGTGTCTGTGGAGCTTGCTCAAGGAAGAGCGCCGAGGTTGCGATGTCATGGTGCAACCGCACGCGTACCCCATGAAGGCGCAGATTGGCACATCATTTTCACATGAGGTCCCTGACTGCTGCGCGTGCATGGTATTATCTGTCGCGTGTTTGTTCTTAGTGTTCCCCTTCCTTGTCCTAGGCGTCTCCATCTGCGTCTTCATTTACGTGTGC